GACTGAGATAGCAGACGGACAAAAAGCTGCAGGGATTTGCTGGTTATGACTGATGTGTCCAGGGGGGGATTCTGGGGTGAACTCGGTGTCGCTACACAGCTGTTCCTGCTTTCGATATCCTTTGCACGTGACCCTGTTTGTCCCGCTGGAACATCTGGAGAGCTGGCATTGATACGGGCCTATGTGGCCTTTACGCCAGATGGCTCAGCTTGGAATGGCTCGAGCTTAAACTGGACAAGAATGTAGTTGTAGTCATAATCCAAGGAAAGTGTGGCTCTTGTTGTGAAGAAGACCCTAACATACAGTCACACTATTGGCTCTAAAATGCTTTGAGTTGTAGAAACTAACTTAAGAAAATTGAATCCTCTGAAGCCTTTTTTTTAAACACACACCTGGCAAAGGACAAACAGACCCAACGGTCTCGCGAATGATATGAGGGCTCGAGAGACTGTTTGGCCTCCAAGTAAAACCCTCAGCAACCTGATGCTGTGCATGTAAATAAGTGTGTTACATAAATTTCCTGCTCAGTGCTGACACTCAGGCCAGTAAAAACAACAACCTGGAAAACAGAACCTGTATGCAAAAAGCCTTTTAAGATTAGATACAAGAATATGGAAATTCTCTTTATGACAAGAGGATGCGGTGGTATGAGAGAAGCTTCAGGCCACTGGGTGTTCTCATTTACTAGGCAAACACTGCGGTTTACTCCCTTCATGGCTTTGCCAAAGCATAAACAGTCAGGGCACTGATAAATGACATGACAGACAGATATTTAAATAAAACAGCATTTCTGCGGAAAGAGGTTGGAGGATGCACGGAGTATGCGAGAATGCGGCTGCCTTGATCTGTCTCCTGCTGGCTGTGGTTGACAGAATATTCTCCTGCTCTTGACGGTTGAGCTCACAATGATTTGGTTTTTGTACCCTCTCTAGACAAGCAATCTGCCAAGAGCTAAGGCTTAGCTCACGAGTGAACGACTGTGGAAGATGGCTAGAACAGATACTGGCAGAAGGCAGGGAACTGCAGGTTTGCCAATCAACACTTCATTGCCGCGAGGTATTCAGTCATAAAAAAGGCAGGGTGATTTCAACAAAATGATTTTGTACGCGGGGAACAGAAGGGCTGAGCAATGTTGAAACGTGGCGCTAATAATAAAATCATAGGAAATATTTGCAACGGCTTGCTTTTCCTCACACTATTTAATCTGCCTCAAGCATCTCCAAGCTGGTAAAGAGGGGAGCCAAGGCGATGTTTTCGCAAATCACTCAGAGATGGTAATGGGGGAGTGGGCAAGGAGAAAGCTGGCCAAGACAGCTAAAGAGTGGGGACAGCTGGCACGTTTCAATTATTCCTCTCTGTCTCTGTGCTGCGGCTCACAAAAGAGTTGATGGCACGAGAATGGGGATGTGTGTTAAGCTGCAACACGTTTACAGTCTAAGCCCAGGCATAAATCACGAACCTAATGTTCATTTCAGAGAGCTGGCAGCTCAAGCTGAGGGATGAATCAGATTTTCCTGTGCATATCAGATCCCAATTCAAACGCTAGCCATATGGTGCAAAACGCACATGCCAGTCACCTCTCATGGCACATATGCTATTGTTGTAGACGGAAGGCAAATAGCAGGGAGCCAATCTAAATCGGTATAAAGGAAGGGAAGAGAGGGAACGGCAAGATGTGGACCCTAAATCGTGTCATTCATGAACCAGTAGTGCTCCCAAACCAGCGTTAAACCGTC